TTCAGGGTCTAAATCCACTACCCTTTTGATCAGATGTGCAATACGTTACTCATTTAGCTATTGTATCTAGAATGTGTTCCACTTGTACAGAGAGTATTAATTTTAATTGAATTTGTAACAGTCTTGGCTTATCCCGATGTTGATATTTTTAACCGAATTCAAAACCATTTCAAAGTGAATTGTTCTCTCTGATGTTTCTACCAATTTCATTGGAATAATAATTCATCCATCTCACTTTTTCACCCTATCATTTTGTTTCCTTTATTTGTAATCATATTAATATTGTTTTCATTACGCTAATGTAAAATGAAGCAACTATATAGACTAAAGCATATGTACATTAGATCCTACATTGTTTATATCTAGATATTTACTAAAGATAAACTGAAACTTTATTGATTCATTGTAAAACGATCAAAAATATTCAACAGCATCTAATATTAGCTATAATGAACATACAGTAATGGGATTGTTTCCCTGATAATTATTGATTAAAGTTAAAATATTACCAAATAGTGATCTAAAGAAAAAGGCTCTTTCATTTTCTGATCAAAGAAAAATAACTTATATGAATCAATGAAACATAAACTATAAATTGCAAAATATTGATGGTTTATAAATAAAGATTAATATCAATATTTTGACTAGGATCAAGAACGCCTAAAACACGTGCGAGCAGCCTAGAGTTCTGATTAGTCCTGGTTTCCTCCTAGCCCAGCCAGTTAAGTACAGAACACCAATCTCAGACTCTGCAATATGAATCCTTATATTTTAAGCATACTGAGTTTATATACAAATCAAACAGATCACAGCGTAGCATAAATTAGAAAATAACATTTGTACAAAATTTGGCCAAATGTGACTGTGAATATGGGAGGCAGTGACAATAGGCAGGGCATAATTCAAGAATGGTAAAACGTATAATAATGGTTCGTAGGTTAAAATAAAGCTTATGATAAGAGAGACATGAATATGAATAGTTTAGTTAATTAACAATTATACGACAAAAATATACGCACAGTATTGGTCCATAAATAGATCCCAAAAAATTACCATTCCTTATTCTTTTCGGGACACAACAACTACCATATCGTGGAACACATGAAATATGGTCTTGTTGACTGTACAGAACAAATAGAATCATACCGATGAGATTTTTCATATTGATTTGGACAGATTAGAAAAAGACAGAGTACGTATACACTATGGTCTGCAAATGGTCAATTTTTGTTCATCATCATTGACCTCCACGATATATGGTAAACTCATCAGTTTTCAATGATTCGTCGTCTAACTTAAAAATCGTTCAGTTAGATTAATGTTTTGGAAAAGGCTCAGAGACATTTCCCTAGACCTGCCTATTCACTATAAATGGTAAATGGAACTTCTGAAATTTGATAGTTTGTCGACTAATACAGTAATCGGTCACATGAAAAGCTAAACATTATTAAATTCATTATGTATTTAAAGTAATTAGTCCCTTTGATAAATTTCTACCATTTGATCAATCACAGTTCTAAACGTCAATGGGATGATTCAAACAAACAATACATAATAAGAAGACGAAGATTATCAGAACTGTGTGCACAATACACTTCGAATAATCTGATCACACATATTTCTTAGTACATTCTTATATAAAAAATAAATGATCAACCAGACTAGAAATGGAGGAGACAAGGATAATAATGCAATAATGTGAAAACAATTTGAAACCTTATCACTCTGGATAATAAGCTAATATTACCAGGGTAGGTTTAAGATGAGAAAAAACTGTTTTTGAATACACAGAGGGTGTTTGAATTTTCGTATGGTTAATGCTTCAATAGAACTTAGTATACGCCCTTTTGCACTTTTGTACAACACCACAAAAGCCCAGTTAAGATGAATCTTATGACCTGTTTCAATTGCGTTTAGCAATAGAGGATGACGGTTGTTTATCCTCTACTCTTATTGGGTCATTCTTAACAAGTATTATTCGAAATGTATTGCGCTAATATATGACATAGTCCTGATAATCTTCGTCTTCTCACTATGTATTGTTTGTTTGAATCTTACCATTGATGTTTAGAACTGCAACTGATCAGTCTCTTATTAGCATATATGCATCCATTACGGGTTGCCTCTATATATTCTTAGGCCACAAGTATTATGAGGAAAGATGGATGGTGTCTAGTCGTGCAATCCAGGACACCCGTTTCATCCTATTACTACAGTGAAGGAATTAAAGGCCAACTAATATAGTATTAAATCAAAATTAGATTGAACAATAATCGCTAATGAGAAGAGTTTAAACAAAACGTTTCAAACATTTTTTCAGTATAGGATTGTGGAGATTATTAAGATTTTGATTGAGATCCTGAACCGATTGATGTTAGACCACCATTGAATCTCCACAACGCTATACTGATAATTACCATGTGCTCATTAGCTACTAGTTTCGTGAGGGAAGTCTCGGAGTTCTAGTGAGAAGCAGTGACCAGTGGGGCAAATCTACGTCGGGTAGAGACAGTTATCTACCTCAGTACAATGGAAGATGGCCAAGCGATTTCGCGGATTGGTTGAAGATAGATATTAATACCGTTGGGTGCCGACTCAATGGTCTAGAGGTTAAGACTTCGTGCGCGGGGCTTGAGGTCCTGAGTTCGGATCCTGCGAGTGGGAATCGTGGGTGTGCACTGCTGAGGAGTACCACAATAGTACGAAATGGCCATCCAGTGCTTCCAGGTTTTCAATGGTGGTCTAACATCAATCGGTTCATGATCTCAATCAAATATGTTTATTGAGACTTTTTTGATAAATACGAGAATTTATGTTTTTGACTAACATGACACAAACTATAGTATAAGAATAAGTTTGATGTTAAATTTCAAATGGAATGTATATAAATAATTCACTGATATCTTGATAGTTTCAAAAGAGGATGTTTGACATCATTCAATTAGTTCCGTAGAAATGTTAGTATATCTTAAAATACAAGGAATTGACTGATGTCATTAATATCAAGTATATCCAACGGTACTCTTCTTAATATAAGAACTGAACATTTTCTATGTAATTCATGATGGTATCAAGCTCACACTATGACAAGGAGTTGAATATAATGAACCCCAGTATGTTTTTATTTTTTTAGTTTATTCTCCGGCTTATATGAATATACAATGAAGACTAAATTCATTCCTAGAAATGCTCCTTTACGCAAATCGAAATAATGTACAACAATATATAAACAGTTCATTATCATACCAGAAAGCTTTCGGAAATATAAGTCATTTTTCGGAATTATAATACTAAATAACATTAAAGATATTCTTTCCGCCCCACTTTCAAATATCCCCTTGAAGTTGAATTACAATCTATAAATAATTTTTTAAGAGGGCTGAGAAGTTAACTACGGAATGTGATAAGTAGTTGAAACTGAGTCACACAAACACAACTTTTTGTATCAAGATTGAAGTAAATTCAACAATCCTAAGTGTTATGACTTTAAGTTGGGTTCACTTTCACCCTGTGCTAATTGTTGTGTCCTTGACTGGAAAATTAGAGAGCAGCGTACTTATCAGTCGATTACAGTGACACGTAAACACGTACGGACGGACTAGAGTTTCTATTGGTCTCGCTTCCCTGTCTAGCCCAGTCAGTTGAGTCCAGAACACAAGTCACAGCCTCGGAGATATGAATCATTATATTTCAAACATACTTTGTTTATATACCAATCAAGCATACCACATCGTACCATAAAATAGAAAACAACATTTTGTACAATATTGAACAAGTGAACAGATACCGACCAATAGGAAATGTCCATTTAAAGTCCAAGGACACCATTGGACTTAACATGATAATTATTGGTCTATTCCTCCGCATCCACAACACTAAGTGAATGCTTTCACAGTTTAGCAGTTTCAGAAAGCAGTGACTCATGTTGCAATCAGTTAGTGAAATGTATATTTCAGGAAATATTGAAATATTATCAGGGTTTACGGTTTCATGATTACTTTTTTCAAAGAAGCTTCAAGTATATAATGATTAAAGAAACATAACACTCAGAAATTACACGGAATCATTTATATACGATCTTGGGAATTTCCAAAGTATAATAGAGGAGCAATCTAGTTAGCACTGATTTCAATCGTTAAGGTTTATATTAGTTGTAAAAACAGTGTAAACCAAAGAGCACTAAATGGATGCTTAATCCGTACTCCAGTACCTCTAGACATTGTACATTCGAAACCTAACACGAAATAGAACCCAAGATATTTAAATTTGATGTCAAATATAACATCATTTAACATTTCAGTCGGAATTATATGAATCTTATTTGCAACACTAGTCGATTCACCAAATTTACCCCTATTATAACTTAGTGACACTGAAGGCTAGGTTCATAGTGTCTTCAAACTAAACAAATCACCAGAAATCAGGTAAATTAATGGGAAAAAAATAACTGCAGAGATAACTGTATGTAATAAGAATAGGTGAGCATTTGTACTTCATTCAACTATATTCTATACATAAATGTAAATTTAAAAATTGACACGATTGTATTGAATCAAGTTATAAGCAACTAAACTAAACTAATAATCTTATGCCAAATCTATTTTTATCATGTTCCATTATAAGACTATAAAACAATGTCCATTAATTAGTTCTATAATAACATGTACTACACTATTCTTTCTTAAAGAAGGTATCTTTCTTCTTCTTTTTCTTCTTCTCGTTTTTTGTCTTAACATTTAAATAGTATTAATTCAATATTAACAAAACATGGTATCCTAAATCTCGGGTAATAAGATCAATTGAATTATTGATCAATATTCGGATTGGGCAATATATATCATAGATGTGTTTATTGTGTTATTTTATTTGCACCAATAGTATTGTCTCTGTGAAAGAATTTTTCTCTTTTATGTTTTCTTTTTTTTTAAAAAAAATATAATAATTAATAGTTATATTCATTGTACTATATTACCAATTACTATTGACTATTAATAGTTTATGTTAACCTAATTATTCATTCTGTACAAAGTAAATAAACAAAACAAACAGTGGTAATACATTCTTGAAATAATTCAATATTCAATTGAAACAAAACATTGATCAGTTAAACAAATAAACTTCCATTATTATCATCATCATCATCATGACACACTGACAATGATCCTTTTCTAATTATTCATTATTGAATATAATGATCTCGAAACAAAAATATAAAAGTATGGATCAATTAAATATCTTTTCATTGATCTTATTATTAGTATTACTGATTAAGAATATTCAACAAATAAATTCACAAAATATTAATGAAAATAATAATAAAATTAATGGAAACAATCAAAATATAAATAAAATAATTGAATATAAAAAGAATGAAGAGAAATATAAAGGTATGTTAATAGGTGCAATACAGTATAGATTCATTTTAATAGTATGAATTTATATTGATTTGTTTATTTGGACACATAAACATTAGTATGAGGAGGGCACCAAATACATATACACAACACAGTAACAATGAGGTCACTAGTAGTTAGTATTGATTTATGTGACAGCTGTGATAATGCGCGGGTTTCTAAACCAAAACAGGTTAATAAGTTACGTACTTACTAACTTATTTACTCTTGTTACCTATCGTGGAGGACCATAGGCAGTAGGCCAGGATTCGCCATCTAACTCTGTCCCGGACAATTCATTTATTATTATCATTACTACTATTAGCTTTATCACTATTATATTTTGGGTACAATATAGAATTCTCAGCATAAAGTATTTTAATAAGTTTCTGTTTCTTACTTCTTGGTCGATACTGACGAATAAATATTGAGTGATCGTCAATTAAATGTTAACAGTTCAGTAAATCGACATCGAAAATAATGTACACCCTTTTCATTGAATATTACCAGTAACCACGATGTCTCCGATTAAGCATTTTTTGTGATTTATACAACGGAAGATTGTAAAATTATCATGAACGTACCTTAATAGATTGTGCGGTTCATATATATATATATATATATATATATATATATAATGTATTAAAACAAGCAAAAACAGATAACTTCTTGAAATATCTATAAGGCAGAAACATGTAGCCCAAATGTTGAAGTAGGCCGCCAATTTGGTGTTGTTTCTAGTTCCTATTCATTATTTTGATGTCTGCTACAAATTCTCGGCTCAGTATTTTCTAAACAGGTTAATTAATAAGCAGAAAATAAGTTTTTTTTAAGGAAGATGAGTAGAGGCTAGTAGGAAAATTCACAAATTATGTTTCGTTCTATTTGAGACTGGTCAGACAGATAATGCCTACATACCAATGTTTATCTTCACTCTGTGGCTCTAGCATAACACCATTAGCTTTAATTGTTTAATGCATTATCCACTTAGCCAATAAATTCAAATTCCTATTGGCTTGTGCGATGAGGACCAATTGTAATCCATTTTCCGCTGATGGTGTTAAGTATTGTCATTGAACAATCTATTCAGAGTGGATTGCTTCGATATTTTTATCTTATCGCAAGTATTTTTTTTATGCACAGGCAAGTGATGGCTAGTAGTTGAATCCAAGACTTTTACAAATAAATTATTATTCATCTGTGTTGTACAAACTAGTGGCTTTCTAAATTCATTAGCTAGGTAGATAATGTGATGAACACTATGTTCAAGTTATTGAGCGATACACCAACACTGAAGTCCCGGTGCATTAATCTAGGGTGTCTCAAACAAGACAATAAGCATATTCTGGATCCCACTGATAGCCACTGTCAAATTCGAATTAAAAAGTTGAGATTTTCATTTTATCGGTATAGGGTTGTGGAGATTATTAAGTTTTGATTAAGATCATGAATTCATTGGTGTCAGACCACCGTTGGAAACCTGAAAGCACTAGACAGCCCTTTCGTAGTATTGTGGGACTTCTCAGCAGTGCGCATCTACGATCCCACTCGCAGGATTTGAATCCAGGGCCTTCAGTCTCATTTTAAAAAGTTTTATTCATGTGCAATTTTAATGAGATAGTTTAACAAACAGAAAATTGTTTTAGTAAACAATTATGAATCGTTTCTTCTGATAAATTATCTCTCGTTAATTTTAGAGTTAATTTTATCGCAATGCACTTCTTTAAAATCATGTAATCTATCAACTGTATTATTAACCATGTATTATTACACTGTTATATTCAGTCCTCAGTTGTATATGGCCATCAGTAGAGTTAATTCTGACTTTTTCTAAAGTGAAATTTAAAACTCACTTGGCATTGTTTACTTGAATTTTCCCATTAACGAGTCCCAAATAATACGAAACGCGCGTCCTGGATTCCTTTGCTAGACGCGTCCATCTTTGCTTATAATGCTTGTGATTTAAGGCAATATAGAGGCAATCCGCACAGGATGCATATATGCCGATAAAAGACTGATCAGTTGCAGTCCTAAACAACAATGGGAAGATTCAAGTACACAATATCATATAAATTTAAACTCCACCCCATTACACAGGTATTGGCCATCAGGACTCAGAAGCTAAGTGGATAACGTGATGGCGTTCGAAGCGAACGGTACTGAGTTCGAGTCCCAGAGTGAACATGAACTCTGGGATGTTGGTATATCCAGATGACGAATCGCAAATAGGATGAAAACTGGGTTCTGGATCCCACTACTAGCCATCATCCATTATTGCATAGAAATCTTAACATTCAGAAAAATGATATGGTGTTAATTTCCTAAAAAAAGTAACATCAATTTTTTGTACACAACTTTTACTTCATCTATTTTTGTGGAAACGTATTTAAATCCACAAATCCTTAATTAAGTACAGAAGTTAGACATTAACACCGTTGGATCCCGGCTCAGTGGTCTAGTGGTTAATTGCTCGGGCGCGAGACCAGTAGTTTCTGGGTTCGAATCTCGCAGGAGGCGAGGTCGTGGATGCGCACTGCTGAGGAGTCCCACAATAGGACGAAACGGCCATCCAGTGCTCCCAGATTTTCCATAGTGGTCTAGCTTCAACTGACTCATGATCTTAACCATTGAAATAAGTACAGAATACTTAACAAAACCACTGATATTAATATATGTAAGTTATACGAAGGTTTACAATGCAAGATGGAGAATAGACGTTATTCACTATTTCTTCAGTTTAGAATTTACTAATCTGTTTGAATGTTCTGTAAATACATTTTAACTTAGAAAGGATTGGTTTCTTACTAATTTAGAATATAACCACTTAGTGATTAATTCAACATTATGTTGTACTACTCCCGATGTTAATCGATCTACATGGGGTAGATATAACTGGATTAGGAATATTCAACTATTGATAAACTTTCATTTAATAAACTTAAAACAATTGATTAAACTGAACATACTAGTCTTCACTAGCTCATTACTTCATAACAAGCCACTAATAAGTGACCATTGTATTTAAGTAAGTTAGCGAACCTCTAAATGTGTTAAAATCTCATGTGTTATGCATAACTTTGATTTTATATTTAAGGAAACCTAGAGAAGTATAGTTTCCTGAATGCTTAAATCGGAATTTTGAGAATATTTAGGACTATTTACAGGTTCACAAAGATATCGCATATCTACACTTGAATTTAATTTAATTATATACAGTTTTATTTATTCATAGTTTGTTGATCTCACAAAATCTCAGCACGATTAATGAAAGCTTAGGTAATATTCTCATTAGAACACGGCATCATACTAGAATTAAAGTAAACAGAAAGGTAATTTTCTGTGATTATCTAGATTGTCATGAAGTATATTGTTTTTATGTGGATAGTATGAGATTCCATGAGTTGATGAACAATAAGTAGGTGCTATTCGAAAAGTATTTCTATCATTATATGCAAGATAGACATTATTTGACAGTCTTAATGTGACACTACAGGGAATAACTTTGACCATTGTTGAGCACATATCTTGACATTAAAGTACAACTGTGGCTTAGTAGACAAAATATTTCCCTTTCTATCACTAATGTGTGGTTTCGATCTCAATCCTGGCCATTAATTGTGAAAGCCAGATAATATCAATATTTCTCATAAATAAAAATACATAAAGTTGTTCCTCTTTACATAATCTACAATAAAAACATTATGACAGACAGGATTATTTTCAAGGATAAAATTAAGGGCCAGTAATAATGGATATCAGCTCACTGGCTTAGTGTTTGAGAGTGCATTTGCATGACCAAAGGTCCCGTGTTGGATTTCCAGTCACGAGGACTTATGTGCGCACTGTGAAAAGTTCCATAATAGGACGAAACGGGAATTCAGCGCTTCCGCGTTCGCTGTTGTTGTCTGACTGATATCGGTTCATGTTCTTAATAAAAAAAATATGTATACTTCATTTCTCATGGACCGAATGTTAATAAACCAAGTGAAAACAGTATTTAAAGGTTAATTGAACTCAGGTAACAGATTTTTTTCACAATGAAAAGTGAGCTTAGTGGTTATCTTTTGTTTTTTGTCATAAAATTAACATTGAGATGTAGGTGCATGTGACTAAATCGATTTAACTAGAATGAAACACGTAAACTGTATTTTACTGATAAATAGTTTCTAATACTTCTCCTACTTATATCATTTCATGATAGAAACTATGTGAAATCATGGAAAATGAACTACATAATCGGATAGGCACAAATATTGGGTTTTTAAAAAAATTTCTCAAACTGTGCAAGAGGGAATTGTGACACATAGATTGATACAAGATATTTGTTAAAGGTCACACCCGGTCACAAATTGACTGAAGTTAAAATTGGAGACTAATGGATAGGAGCTCACTAGTCTAATGATCATGAACTTACCGAAGGACTGAACGTTCTGTGTTTGATCTCGCACAAAATAGCTATGCACAGGTTTTCTTGTTTTCGGTGATTAATTAGTTGAGTCGTTCCTTGACAGAAACTAAACGAATCAATTCACAAAACAAATTTATCGATATAACTTATCTTTCAGTTGAAAGACAATTTGAAACCTAGGAAAACTGTTATTGTTTTCAGATTCGGGTCATTGTATATTCAACAGCTTACACTATGATGAACCATTAAGTTTCCGAATTAATAAAGCACAATAATTATTAACACTGATTGATCAGTAAATGCCAGACGATTTCATGTTTGTCTTATACTTAGAGGTGATTGATTTAAAAAGAGGTCACTTTCCAAAATAACTCATTATCAAGTATACTGCTTTCATGTTAAATATCTATAGACAAGTAAATGATCTTGACTCGAATCCCGTGGAAATCCTCAATTTCATCTCGACTGTAACCACACCTTGTTGACCAGATCAAACTAGAATAAAATCTAGGATCAAAGATTACAGTCTGTTGCGTTTACCCCCCCCCAACTTGGATTACTTATTTAATTGACATGAATAACAGTT